CATGGAGGGATACTCCCTTAACCTAGAGACAGGAGAGAAGTCCTAGTCCCTACTCCAAATGACTTATGTAAGGAGTAAGGGTTTTTCCTCCCGCTGCTGGTCTGGTCCCGCCACCATACCAGCCCCAAATAATGCACAGAGACTCTGTATTTGATATAATGCTGTTGGCCAGTTACTTGTTTCTTATTGTCTAGCTCTGTCTTAAGTATTAACCCCTTTCTGTTAATCTATGTATTTCCACGTGGTTTCATCTTACCGGGGAATGGGCTGGCGTTGTGCTCTCCCTGTCTCTCCATCTTGACTCCTCCCTCCTACTTCCTCTTTCCTCCTTGTCTTCTAGTCCCTCCTCTCTTGCTTTCCTATTGGCCAACAGTGCTTTATTAATTAACCAGTATGAGAAACATATTTACAGAATGACATCTCCCATCATCTCCTCTTTTCTGTCCAAATAAAAAGAAGGGTTTTAACCTTAGCATAGCAAAATATATTAAAAACAGTTATCAAGTAAGAATCACAGTTAACAATCAATATTTAGTCCATTAACATTTAGCAAGATTTGAAGAAAATATTCCATTATCTATCCTATCTTTGTGTGTCTAAAGTCTATGTAACTTATCTTTAATCCTAACTATAACCATAACTATTTGTCTTCAACTCCTTCAAAGACCACAGAAGGATAATATATAAACTCTAGAAATGGCAGAAACAATTCACTGCCTGGCCAGTCACCTGAAGTTCTTCTGTAATCTTCCATCTTCAGCCCATAGGCCATAGTGTGTCTGGCAGACTCTTCAGCAAAGCAGGAAACTTTAAACTGTCTTCTTGTATTGGCAGTTTGTCAGTCACTTTTTTCTGTGTACTGCAGACTGTCTGGCAGACTCTTCCATGAAGCAGGAACTCTGTAGCAATGTCCATCTTGAATCAGCAATCACTTTTCTATGGGTCCTGCATGTCCAGTTTATACAGCATAAAGTCAAACAGTCCAGACAAGAGCAGTATCTTTTCCAAATGGCTAGTCTTGCCATATTGGAAGTAAACTTCATAACGCGTTTCTTCAATGTCCATCTTCCTTTCTGACACAGGTGGTGTTGCCAGGAGCATTTATGTCTCACTATCAAGAAAAATCCTAAACCATTTTAAATGCCATATTCTGTAGGTCTTTGAAAGGTTTGAAGAATGCCTATTTATCTCAAATACATGTCTGTATATCTAGAAATCTTAACTAACTAAACTATAAGATTTTATTATCATAGGTACTATCTATAATCTATATTGAATTACATATTACATTTCTAAATGAGCTATATAAACACAATCCCTAAACAAAAGGAGAAATATACATATCACAAAATTGACCTAAAATTGTATCAATAAATGAAAATCCATTCCAAAGCAAAGTATCCATTTCTATACCATAATCCCCTTTTCACATTTAAAAAGAATTTGCTGTGATCATTAACCATTTATAACCAACCTCATTTAAATGAAAACAAACATTTATAGACAATATTTGGGAATTTGGGCGTCGTTCTTTCCAAACTACTTCCTGCTGGTAGAGGGTGCTCTCATGGGGATCCTAAGAAGTTGTAGAAATCCTGGCTGTAGTCTGTAAGGCTGCTTTGTTCAGCTGTTTTGAATGTAGGATCACCTCGTACTCTGTTTCAGGGGGGTCTGGCTTGGTCTGGGAGGAATCCACAGCTTTTTATTTTCTGTCGAAACAAAAATAGAAATTCTTTTCCCCAGTAACTTGTCCTTGAACTTAAATTTTGGAGTAAAAGCATTTTTAAAATATATAAATTGAATTAATCCACCAGCATTTGTTTTAACAGTAATTGTTATTTCCTCGGCAGTCAAACGATAAAAAGACAATATAATACCATACAGTATCCAGATTCTCTCCATCTTTATGTGGCTTTTTTTTTTTTTTTAATTAATCTGTTTATTTTACTTTTTATTTTTTCATTTTTTGAGACAGGGTTTCTCTGTGTAACTCTTATCTGTCCTGGAATTCACTCTGCATGCCAGGTTTACTTTAAAATCACAGAGATCTGCTTGCCTCTGTCTCTGGAATGCTGGGATTAAAGGCATGTGCCACCACACCTAGCTCCTTGGTGTCTTTTTTAAAACCATTTTATTTCTTTTCTCTCCCAAGCCTACATATATTTTAGAACACACTGTAAGCCTTTAGCACTTTTTCTTAATATGAATCTGTCTTTACTGTAAATCTTTATCTTTTTCTGGACATGAGCCTTTTATCTGGTAAACAACAACATTGCTAAAATGAAAGTCATAGCTGTGTTAGCCACGGTCTATCCAAGATGGAGGCAGCTATTTTACTGTCAGCAATGAGAGCTGTGCTCATTGCCTTGGTCTGCACTGCCATCCAGCAGCATGCTGCTGGTTTGGAGATGTGGTCATTGCCATTGCCAGCTCTCATACACATCAATGAATTGTTAGCAGAGTTTCTTAAAAGCCTTGTGGGGTTTTTTTGTTTTTTGTTTTTTTGTTTGTTTGTTTTTGTTTTGTTTTGTTTTGCCGCTTATGCTGAGTCAGGAAACCTCCCTTAAAGGAGCTGAGCAAATCTCTGTTTGTCTTTATCAAAACAGAACCCAACGGAGAAAAATGCTGCTACCAAGAAGCCTTGCTTTTCTTTGTTTTTTGTTTTTTGTTTTTTGGTTTTTTTTTGTTGTTGTTGTTTTGTTTTGTTTTGTTTTGTTTTGTTTTTGGCTTGTAAAACCCTTTTTTTTTTTTTTTTAAGCTTCTGTTAAGTTTTAAATGGAAGTTCTTATTAGCCACGTTGAGGCTCCATTTGTAACAGGAGAGAAGTCATAGTCCCTACTCCAAAGGACTTAACAGATTTAGATGACTCCTCCAGGAGGGCATCACCCTACATGTGGAGTGGGGGGGGGGATGGGAGGGGATGGTGGTCATGGGGCATAAGAAGGTAGAAGAGAGTGAAAGAGGGAGGGAGGGAGAAGGGGAGGGAGATGGGAAGGGAGAGAGGGAGGAAAGAATGAAGTGAGGGGGAACTGAGATCAATATGTAAAGTAAAAATTAAAAAAATAAATTAATAAAAAAAGATAAAGAAACCTAAGAAGTCCTGAGAAGTTACACAGCCCCCCCCCCCAAATCTGGTATTTTCTATTTCTCTTCCTTGGCTCATGAGTGGTTTTCTTTACCTTATACTCCTGTCATATGCTGTCCTTTCCAAAGGCTCAAAACAATGGGGCAGCCCTATCTTGGACTAGAAAATCTAGAACCCTGTACTAAAATTCACCTCATCTCTTAAAGTTTCATATTTCAGACACTTCATTAAAGTAGAGAAAAGCTGATTAATACAGCATGTATAGTTGTGAAGGTTTTTTTTTTTTCTCTTCCTTACTTATCATGCAGAATTCTTTTTTTTTTTTAATTAGTTGTAACTAATTAAAAATCAATGATTTTTTTTTTCCTTGAAGATGTGTGTCTTAGTTAGGGTTTCTATTGCTATAAAAGGGACATCATGGCCATGACAACTCTTATAAAAGAAAAGATTTAATTGGGGCTGGCTTAGAGTTCAGAGGTTCATTATCATTGTGGCAGGAAACCTAGCAGCATGCAAGCAGACATGTCGTGAGAGAAGTAACCAAGAGTTCTACATCTAGATCAGGGAACAAAAGGAAGAGAGAGAGAGACACAGGACCTCACTTGAGCATCTGAAATCTTAAAGGCCACCTCCAGTGACATACTTCCTCCAACAAAGCCACACCTCCTAACAGTGCCATTTCAATTCAAACCACCACAATATGCTTTAAAAAATAAGTTACTAAGTCAAAACATTTAATGGTTTTCAGGCACTTGACATTGTATTGTCAAAGCCTTTCTCAAAAATTTGGGTCTTTCTATATTCTCATCACTTCTGCTGTCAATTTAAAATGTTTTGAACACAAACCAATATTTCAAGTTAAACCCTTGTCTATCTAGTCAGATGAAGAATTCACTTTTTTTGTATACTAAATTATCAACTTATAATTGCCATCAATTTATGTATCATTGGAAATTAGTCCAACTTCAGCTGATACCAAACTGAGAAAGCAGTTGTGCTGAGAGCTTTACAATACTGTTTTCCATTTCTGTATCCTGTTAAACTGTACAAAGCCTGGCATACAGTAGGCATGACCTAAATCTTAAACTCCATTATTTGTGTATTTTTAGTTACTACAAGTCTGAAATAGCTTATAAATGGAGAAGTCTAATGTTTATGTGATTTGATTCTTTTGTTGGATATATTTCAGAATGACAAATCTGTTAGTTCATCACTATGGTAACAGTTTTCCTACTAAATGTAATGAAGCACCGAGAAAACAGTTTTTTCTATCATGATATCTATTTTAGGCCTTATCTGAAAGAAATGGCGAGCCACTGAATTCTAAAGAATAATGTAATAGAATCAAGACTTTAGAGGAATAATTTTGACAAAATAGGTAATTATACATTTCTTTGGTAGAAATACATTTAAATACAGAACCATACAGCAACATTTATATTCCTTTCACTGCAATTTTAAAATTTCCCAGTTCCAATGAAGTGCTAGGACATTTCCTCTGCAAAACACAGGCATTTGATGAGGTAGTATCACACATGTAAATCTCTAGGATGTTTACTTCATGAATGGGAACTTAGCACTCCCACATTCAAAATTATTTGAACATGACAACTTACTCCAGTAAAAAAACTAATTTTCACTGAAGCAATATCAGATATAACATAATAGTCTTTCTATTCTCTCAAAAAAAGAACTGATGTTTTGACCATAAAATCAATTCAATTGTCATAGTGAAATTGTCATAACTTGTATCCCTGTTGAGACTAGGTTAGAAACTTTTCTCTGATAACCAGTTAGTGAGTCCCTATAAAGATTCTATGGAAAGCTAAGCAGGTTTACTGCTTCCCATCAGGAAGAACTTGATGGCGAGGGGTGGTAAGGGGGGGATCAAAACCTTCAGGAATGAGACAAACTAGTTTTGCAGAATTTAATATTTTCAAAAGGACAGAAAATATAAAAGTTATCAAAAATGTGAGCATTCATTTTGGGGAAAAAGCAGTAGGATTGAAACTTGCAACTGATTTCTGGTTAAAAAAAGAAAAATCAGAACCATGACAGCTACAGCTGTCCTGTGTAAAGCCCTCCAATAGAAGGCAGGAATAGGATGGATGGCCAACGTCCAAAGGGAGCATCATTTTGCACGCTTAGATTCTACTTCCTCAAGAATCCACTCAATGCCATTTAAAAAACCAGTCAGAGTTTCAGCCTCCATATCCTGGACCTGTGAATAGGTGAGAGAGGATGCTGTCAGTTCAAACCAGAATCCTAGGATGAGTGGAATTTCTCTGGACATTTTTTATAAGCTAAAATAAAATGACCGGTCTAAAGTTTTATTAAGTTTTTCAAGTACTATCATTGGGAACAATCATGAATATAAGTAATCTTCTCTTAAGTCTTCCAACCACGTAAGTATTAGTCTGATTTCCTGGAACTCAACTCCAGAAATGGGAGGGACAGGCTTTTTTGTACATCCTGGAGACAATTTCTCCAAAGGATCCACTTTAAAAAGTAAAACACGTTTTAATGAACCTAACCAGTCAACGAATAAATGTGACATACTGCAAAGCTGACCAGAGATGAATGCACCTTTAGAGAACATTTTATCTAAAAGCTGCAGAATATATACTTGTTTTTCATCATAGACTGGAACATTCTCTATACTAGACATTATTTTAGACCACAAAGTCTTCAACAATGGTAACAATGAAGTAAAAAAAAAAAAAATCATATGCATTTTTATGACTAAAGTCAGAATAACAACAAAAATCTAGAAATCGACAAATACATAGACTTAACATGCTACTAAGCATGAATGAGAAGGACAAATAAAAACAGGAAACAATGTAGCAAATAGATGGGATATAGCAAACACAGTACAAAAAAGGCAAGTTAGAGCAACAAATACATTCACACACACACACACACACACACACACACACACACACAAGATTTCAGTGATAGAGGCATATTTTGGACCCAAACCCCAGTAAATAAATAAGACTTCAAGTAAACTTGCTAATGATGTATCTCAGAGGTTTAGACAAATCAGCGCAAAACAAACACAGTATGAGACGGAAGGAAAGAAAGAACAACAGTAGAAATAAATGAAACAGTAATTTGAAAGTTATAAAGACAAACAGTTGGTTTTCTGAATTTCAAACAAAATCAACACAGGTTTAGCTGGATTGTGTAAAAAACAAAGATCTTTAGCCCCAGCACTTGGAAGGTAGAGGCAGGTGGATCTCTGTGAGTTCAAGACAAGTCTAATCTACATAGCAAGTACCAGGAAAACCAGAACTACATAGAAAGACCCTGTCTCAAAAGTAATAACAACAACAATAATAAAAATAAATTAAAGAAGATACAAATAAGAAACAAAGGCAAATAGGGACTATTTCAAACAATTTATCTATGGGGTTTCTTGTCAGCTATCTTTTGAAGAAAAAAAAATTCATTATCCAAATAAAATTTAAAGCACTAACCTGTGAGAGGTACATTTTTCAGTGCTATTGGGGATGAACCCTTGAGTCACCTGCATATTGGGTAGGTGCTTCACCACTGAGCAACTTCCTCAGCCCCTATGACCTGTAGTTTTACACGAGAAATGCTACTCATCCTAAGATTCTCAAGGCACACACATTGGTGCTGAGAAAACAACCCCCAGTTACTATCTTACTGTTCCTACAACAAGAGTGGTAAATAGCGAAGAGATGACCAATCCAAATATATTACTACCTTTCAACTGAGCCCTTGAAATTCACTTTAGAGTTCATTTCAAAAACAAAAGTTATCATTCTGATTAGTGTTCCCTAAAGTTCTGTGTGTTAAAGGCTTGGCCCCCACCCCTGGTGCTGTTAGAGAGTGGTGAAACTTTAAAGAAGTGGCAACTCCTGGGAGGTCACTTAGGATGTTCCTTGAAGGTCATACTGGGATCTCAGCCCCTTCCCCTTTCTCTTCCTCTTTTGTTCCAAGACAGGTGTTTCCTCTACCCTGTGTTCATAGTATGATGATCTGCCTTGCCACAGGTTCAAAATTAAGAGGGTCAACTAAAGCATTAAAAACTGAGGGAAAATATACCTTTTTTTTTTTTTTTTAAGTTATCGTCTTAGCTATTTTGTTACAATAAAAGGAAGCTCACAAACACACATACATGCAAATATCCATGTGCACATATATAAATAAATACATACAATAGAAAGTACACTAAAAATAAATTCTTTATCACCAGAGCAGTTAGGACCTTACCATCCACGGGTGGTTTAGAAGGTTGAGACGCAGCTCATGAGCTAAATAAAAACAGGGCATTCTTTTTACATCTGCTTGAGAAATACAAGATAAAACCAGCATTGGTCTTCCTGAAGATCCAAAAGCTGGATCTGTCATGGCCATGATCCGAGAAAATTCATCTTGCCATTCATGTCCTAAGGAATTTAAGTTAAAATATGTAATCTATATTACTCTAAAAATAATTATATTTAAAAGCAGCATATAAAAGGAATTAAAATTTTTACCAGGATTTAAACACAATAAAATGCCTTTATTGTGATATTTACTTATTTTTCTGCCACAAAATTGTATTAAACTGCTTTTCAAAGGTAAAAATTTTGATGATGCCATAAAGAAATACAGTCACAATAATATTCAGGTGTCCTGACTATTTAAAGTAACTGTCTATGATATGATAATTCTGTCTTACACATTTTGCAACTGTCTGATTACCCTTTCTTTCAAAGGTCTTACTTCTGACATCTAGGCATAAAATTGGGTCTAATTTTTTTCATGCAGATTTCCTGCCTCTGCCTTATTACTGGAAGGTCCAGATTACTGACAACATGTGGTAAACAAAAATCCCACTCCGTTCCGTTTTATCAGCCTGCCATTTGGAGTACAGGTACAAGCCACTGTTTCTTTTTCTGACTCAGAATTTTTAGATTTAATGCTAAGCATTTTATTTAGAAAAGCAGTTAAAGGCTAAGTAAGGTAAAGAGGACCTACTCTTAGAGGTAGGCCTATTCCTTTAACTGCTGGGCCATTAACACATTGGTTCGAGGCAAACTATTCTGCTGTTGGTGGATTTGGCTTCTATTGCTATAGTTAATGTCAACAGAGAGAATTCAAATTCTCTCTACAGTTGGGTACAATAGATCACATTTGTAACACCAGCAGTCAGGAGGATGAGGTAGAGTAAATGTCCTAAATTCAGGGCCAGCGTAGGCTCCATGGTGAGGTCCAGATTCAGGATTTGCACACCAGCTTCAGTGTTAGGATGATGTGACCAGAGCATGAGTAACGGAAGCGATCTCGGTGTCCAGACATGACTTCAGAATTCTGCCCTGTCCTGGTAGAAGGTCATCCTTCCCCTCCACAGAATCAGAAAACAAAGAGTACTTGCTACAAACTACATTCCTACATCTGTGCTCAAACCAAGAGCTTTTGTTTCTAACCTTCTCTCCGGAGTAGTCTGTCTCTGCCAGAATAAGGGGTGGAGGGTTGGGAGGGAGGGAGATTTCTCATCTATCATTGTTGACAGAAAACTTTGGCTTCATGTGAGAAACCGATATAGAACACAGGGCCCCTCTCACTTGTATAGCAGCTCATCAACACATACCCCTTTTATAAAGGAGTTGGAGGTCTCCTGTCCTACCACTAAATTTTCAATGAAAATCTAGCAGAACATCATGGAAAAAAAATCACTAAGTAGGTATAGATTATTTTTGTATCCTATGTTTTTTTATTTAGTTAGTTTATCTGTCATTCTTGGGATTGAGTCTGAGGCTTCAGTTATGAACTAGGTTAATACCCTACTTTTTCTACCTATTTTACAGGGGGCTATTGGGACCAATCTGGAAGACTAGACAAAAGTGAGTTCTCTATTTTTAGCTCTCAGTCATATCTCCACCAGCAAATACACTGTCTGACCTCTATCACTATTGGTAACTCATCAACTGTTTGCTGAACAAATCTATCTACCTTTTAATTTACTTCTAATCTTTCCTTTTATAGATAGCCTTATAATAACAATAATTCTTTTTTGGTTTTTCAAGACAGGATTAATCTATTATTTTTTAAAAATAATTTATTTAGGATTTCTAAGTATAATTGCCTTCAGGACATAACAGATTGGTAGAGAAATAAATTCACTGTAAATTAAAATCAACACACTAAATAACTATGATATATGTATCATGTATACATTTATATATAAGCAATATGCTTAATTAATCATTCATTATATATTTATATTCTACATTGTACACAAAGCATTGGCAGGAAATTATGATGCTGGTTCATGATCCAATGATATAGCAATGTCATACCAAAACAATATAGTCAGTGACAATTATTCAGAGTATATGAAGAGTATTATCAACTTTAATTAACTTTAATCTACTCAACTAACATCCTATTCCCACACCTCTTTACAGTATGGGAAAGAATAAATCAACAAATTTTCAATTATCCACATAAATTATTTAAATATACTAGAGGCAGAGAAAGCATCAGTAATTTTAAAATGTAGATCATACCAAAACAAGCAAACAACATGGCTATAGAATCAAGCTTTGGCACATATCAGGACTCTGTGGTGTTTATAAAAACCAGATGTCTAGGCCACATCTATGGATCACAATGTGGCATGCCAGTAAGTTCCCATGTAGTCCTAATGTACAACAAGGTTTGAAAACACTAGTGAGAGTAATGGCCAGAAGATCACAGCAGTGAAATCTAACTGTTGTATTATTTTGGTGCTGTAACAATGTGATTATTTATCTTGCAAAAAATGACATAAGTAGCACCTCAAGGAAGAGAGAAAAGAATTCTTACGTTTGTGAGCTTCAGCATTTGCCACATAGATGAAGCCATCGACAACTTCACACACCTTCTGAATTTGTGGAATCACACTATAGCGGCTTCCTTGCTGCTCATCCCCTTCATGCTGTAGGCTGAACATCTTGTTAACTGTACTTGTGTGTTCTTCCCTTGCTCTGTCTCTTTCCTTTCTGCAAGAAAAAAAAATACAAACATATATGAGAAAAAGACATTTAGTGGGATAGGTTCCATCCCACTAAAATGTTCCTCTGTCGATGTTTCAGCCCACCGAGCAGGCAGCCTTACCTGGTAGTTGAATATAATATCAGGATGTTGAATTTATGTTGATTGTTCAACTGGAAATTGACTCCAGATCCAATACCTATATGAGAAAGTCAATTATACAAACAAGCCAATAATAAAAAGCATTTAAAAATTTCCCACTGAAAAATTATGCAGTGAAATCAAAAAGAGCAAAGGAAAAAAAAAAAAACTCAGCGAGTTACATGCAACTTTAGAATAAAATGCAATGTTTGTAATGAAGGGGAAAAAAGCTGTGTGAACTTTGATTCACAAGGTGGCACAAACACAGATGAAGAACTAAGTACAGCTTGGCTCTGTCATCCTTCAAACACTACAGTAGCAGCTGAGGCACAGCAACTACTTCTATTTATCCACATTGACTCCTGCCCATGTATTATGCTTCCATTTGTCTTATAATACATATACATACATACACACATACATACATACATACATACATATGTGTGCATGTGTGTATGTATGTGTGTATGTATGTATATATTCAGTGAGGGTCCCTCCTATGAAAAACTGTTTCTCTCCTATGAAAAACTGTTTACAAACAGACCTACAGATGTGAAATTTGGAATTAGATGTGGATTAGAATCCTGTTTTCCATGACAGTCCTTACTTGTGAGACTCTATTTTGACACAAAAATGAAATAATCTATACCTCTTTGGGTTGCTTCGAGGATTGCCTACAATCTAATACGTGATACCTGTAGGTTGCTAAATATTGCCTTCTTACTGCTTTGTGTCTGAGTCACCCAACACTGTTGCTGTCCATTTCTTGGCCTCTCTGTGTTGCTGTTGGTGTTGGTTTTGTTACTGATCAATGTATTTTTTGGTCTCCTGGAAACATCCTTGGTTCCATAGCTCAAGTCCTTGCTAGACAAATGCCCCTTCAGATCTGTCCACTTGTCTCCATGGTCATTCTCCTTTGACTACAAATTAACAATCTGTAATTTCTTCTAACAAGTCCTCTAAATCCTCTTGCTTTAACTAGCCTTTCTTGCAGTAGCAGATAGAGTGATGAATGATACATATATACATGTTTCTCTTCTCTGCAAAGCCTCCAGATATGCAAACAAATGAATACAGTCTGAACCCACTTGCCTAATTAGAGACAACTCCAGCCTTTCATTCCCTTAATTATTGAATCCCAACTAACTAAGCTATGCCATGTCATCTCATGTCACCATTTTAAGCATCACATGGATAGATTTGGACTTGCAGGTCCTAAAACTTTATCTCAAACCACATGATCCTCTACTCCTCCAGCCATGAAATTCCACAAAAAGCATATTTCTGCTCTTTACTAAAATAAGTTTAATTTCCAGAAATTATCGTTTCAACACCTGAGCCCAACTTATTATGCAACCCATATTCTTCTCTAGCCTTGTAGACTGACATTTTCAGGCAATCACTTAAGTCTCTATAAGGAGAATGTAACTGCCATTTCAGTTATCAAATTTTCTCATATTGTCTGGCTTTTTCTGGTGTTGCTTTTGCTCTAAGTCCTTGCCTGACACTGGCCTGCCTTATTTAATACTTCTTTTGCCATGGACTCTCGGTTATCAGAATTGCTAATTTCTTCATACCCTACAGTGAAGAAGTGGGCTGATCTCTCTACCTCCAATGACTTGCCTAAACATTTTCTTGAGAACCTTCTGGAACAGGTCCATCTGAAAAACACACCATTCAGTTGGAGAACAGTTTTTCAGTCCTCAACTTTGTCATCCAATATCGTCCACTCCCCCATGGCAGACTTCAGCATGCAACTCACTGTCTTTCTCTCCATCTTCCTAAACTTCTAAGTCCATGTGAACTTATGACTTCCATATATTAATTTCTCTACTCTTGGTCTTCAGATCTGGACACACAATCCATAAGTCATTCATTTAATGCATGTGTAATACTTACTTTTCTACTGCTGTAACAGAACACCATGACTAAAGTGACTTTTAAAAGAACATACTTAACTCCAAAGGGTTAAAAAGAGTCCATGAACATCATAGCAATGATCATAGCAACAGGCAGGTAGTAACTGAGACCTTACATCTAAGCCACAAGCAAAAGACAGGGAGGACAAACTGCAAATGGTGTGTGAGCTTCTGAAACCTCAAAGACCTCCCTCACTGATGCACCCTCTCTAAAAAGGCCACCCCTCTTAATAATCCTTACCAAATTGTTCTACCAACTGGGGTTCAAGTGTTCAAATATATGAGCCTATGTAGGCCATTCTCATTCAAACCACCATAGTGTGGAACCTATGATGTATCTGGTATTATAGTTACAAGTAAAAACAAAACTGACAAGATCCTTAGCTCCTGCCACCAAAAACAATAACCACAAAAGTCATTCTCCTCTGGTGATTTCTCACCCTTGTGAATGACTTTTAATCTGACAGAAACCACAAGGCTGCTATCCTTATTATATAATAATTATTAATTGCATCAATTTTCATCCTCAATATTCATTCTTTTTCATCCAATGACGCTTTTTATGTGTTTTTATCATAAATTATAGTGGATTCATTAGGACCTTTTAGTTAGTTTGAATAAACATTCCAAAGTGAAATCTTGATCCTCTCAACCCTCTGATAAAATTTCTTCAGCAGCTCCCACATACTTTTATGCATCCCGTGTGTTCTTGTTATTTACCTAGTTCTGCTCTTTCTAAATTTATAGATACTCAACTGAGTCCTAAATATTCACAACTTTGTGGATTTTGTCCTTCTTGTTTCAAGGGAAGGCAGCTACAAATACTGATGAGTCTTAGCTGACATCACCTTCAAAGTGTAGTCTTCTTTGATTCTTACTTTTCTATTCAAAAACTATCTGATCATATTCTAATAACCAAAGTACTGTTTCCATTTCCTCACTTGGAGCCATTGTCTTCACGGAAGATCAAGATTTGTTCTAAATCTCTGTATCTATGCCATTTAATGAGCAAAGTGTACCTTACATTGTTTTTGTTTTTGTTTTTTTTTTTTTGGGACAGAGTTTCTCTGTAGCTTTGGAGACTGTCTTGGAACTAGCTCTTGTAGACCAGGCTGGTCTCAAACTCACAGAGATTTGCCTGCCTCTGCCTCCCAAGTGCTGGGATTAAAGACATGTGCCACCAACGCCTGTGTATCTTACATTGTATGAGTACTCTTGTTTATGACACTTTCTCACCTTACCCAAAGGTCACATGCTATTTGTGGGTTCTTTTTTGTTTTGTTTTTCTTTTTTCTGTAAAGGGGGTAATAATATAGTTCTTTTTTTTAAAAAATCCCAGCATATATAAAATTTGCAAATAGATGTTCAATGATTTTTCTTGGTAAGTTTTTCTTATGGTAAACATAAGGACTTTTGAAATACAATAATTTATTTTACCATATTAAATTCTAAGTTCTACAAATTTTAGAAATTAAGAAAAAATGTATTTCTTATATTAATTTTTTTTCTCATTTAATGGAAGCAGGGAGCCCATCCACCAATTTCTATACTTCATTACAGGATTTGATTTTAAAAAGCCTGTCTCTTTAACACTAATGTCAAGCTCTTAGTGTTATAATTACAATGTATTGTATACTAACATGAAAATTACCATCAATCTGTCTATGAGGCAAACCAGCAGTAGGGCAAAGTTCCTCAGAAGACATCAAACTCAACACCAAAGATGTGTTCAATTCTTCCAAACCTGGTCCAAACATAGCAAATCGGGGTTCATTCTGAATGATCAATGAATGTAAGAAAGAAGTAACAGCTCCATACATAGGACGGCTGGCTTTCAAGGCTCTTCTCGTATATGGACAGCACATTTTATAACTGCATAAAATTGTCACAATTAGAAAATAAAATAGAAAACATTTAACTTGTTGTTCATTTGAGAATAGGTAATTTATTGAATCCTTGCATGGCATGGTAATACAAAGACTATAGTTTCAACCCTCCCAAACATGTCTGCAGAGTCCCATGGCAAGGAAAATGATGATGTGCTAGAGAATGGAAGTGATGATGAGGCTGCAGAAACCTCCCCAAGGAAGATGTTATTTGCTTTCTTATCTTGTATTTACTTTCATGAAGCACCAATATTTCCTTGGACAGGTGAAACTAATTACATAGAATAGTGATTGTTCTCTTCCTGAACAATTTTATTTTCACATCTGGGGAAGAGGAGGCTGTGACACCAGCATCAGCTTAACAGAACCACAGATGCCAACATATATTCACAATTTCCCAGGATAGCCCCCTACAACTGCTCCAAAATGTCAATAATGTTAAGACTGAGAATCCCCGTAATTAAGAAAAACTACAGATACTTAGCATTAAATCCCACAAATTTAACAGTATTACTAAAGCCACTAGTATCAAACTTCTTAAACACTCCTTTAATAGTCTCCTTTAATATTCAAAATATTAAATAAATGCACAGGAAGGCCCAAATATACCTCACTGAAAATTAGCAAAGTAAAAGCTATGCGAAAGAAACTATAATGGCTCAGCAGGTAAATGTTGCTAAGCCTGATGAGCTGAGTTTGATTCCAGGGACCCAGATGATGGAAAGAGAGAATGAACTCCAAAAGGCTGTCCTCTGACCTCCATGTATACCATGGCATGTGTGTGCCCCACACACACAATAAATAATAAATAAAAGTAATTTTAAAAAAGAAATGCCATTTAAGATTATTATAAAGGTCGTGGTAATTTTGATCTAGTCATCCCATATTACCTGACATAATAGCATCTGAATTAGAAAGGCTGAGTAACACATGAAATGCAGGTGGAAACTCCTACAAGTAGGTACCGAATCTAGCAGTGTACAACAATTCTTACCTGAAGAAAGTCAAAGGTTCTTTTAGTTTTTTTATTATGCTTTAAAGGTGGGGTTCATGGTAAAGCAGGTTTTACCTATATAAAGTGACATATTCTGAGGGAACATGATAGTATTGAACAATCCCATACATGCTATGTCATATACAAAACATAACCGTTCTCAATCTCTACATCCTTAACATGAAAATAAAGTTTTTATGTTGAACAAGGATAGGAGGAGTAAACATACACAGAGCAGATCCCCACAGAATCAGATATGTAGCATTTGCTCAATAAACTTGATTTTCTCATGTACATGATACTCAAGAAACATTGAGGCTTTGAGGCAATAATATTTTATTTCTCAGAGTCTCAAAAATGATTTTCTCCCCTGTCAAAAAGAATTGTTTTCTGATCTCTTGACATCTTTCTCTGATTATGAAAAAGCTTTTATAATTTAACAAAACATTAGAAAAATTATGAGAATTTTAAAAAAAAGTCTTCTTTTTTGCCAAATGTACCACATACAATTAATTGAAAACTGATTAGCCACCACAGGAAAATAATAAAAGATTAAAGCTGTAAGAGTCTTATGAAAAAACTACATTAGCTCAACCCATAATTTTATCAAGGCGCCATTCAGACAAATTCCGTGCAACAAATTAGTAGCAGGGTCAGAACTAATGTCGACTATTTAGTGTAAAATTTAGCATCTCTTATTAAGTCACAGAAATTAATACTTACACCTCCATGTAATCAAAACACCTTCTGTCAGTGACCTCAGATATGGGCTTTTTTAAGATCTCTAGATCCGGAAGTGACTTCCAATCAACAGAAGACCAAGAAGGGAGGTCCCGCAACAGAAAATATCTCCAGAGAATTGGGTCTCTTACGGTTTCATTCCAGTAACGATCTGTACTTCCCAGCTGGCACAAATCATGGGGTGAAAGAAATGACAAAATGTACAGCTGTACATCGATCTGAAACAGAGGCAAAAAACATATAAAAAAAGGAGTAATTTGTCTTGGAAGACTGGTAACAACTTAGATAATCAACAAAGAATTGCTATACTAAAGATCAAGTGAACGAGTCATTCTTTATACTACTTAAGTCTACTTTATTTCTCTTTCATCCAGAAAAGTCAAAACTCAGCATTTTAATTACTAACACGTATGAAACGTTCTTAAAAGCTCCCTCTTCTTATTTTTTTAAGCAAAATAAGCACTTCCTTATTTTTTCTTCCCATGGGTATTTTGATATACCAGATAATCAATACTTTCTTCCTCAAAATAAATATATATCTAGTGGAAATTCTTCTGATTTTAATCACTAGATCAAGTGAAAGCATGTAAATGTGTCATCTGAATTTCTCTAGAAATATTAATCCGTTTCAAAGGACACAGGCAAGAAGCTTGGTGGAGGGGGGTCATTTGGAATGTCAGTGGGACATAGGGACGTACTAGTAATCCAACTGAGATAAAAGAAATATAATAATCAACAATGTATAATCTCTCCATTTTCTAATCTTTCTCTGAAACTTTAAATAGCATGCATTCTCTTTGTGACCTGTTCTAACTTGAAGCCCTTGTAACTTCGTTTATTTCCAATTACGTGGCAGTTCTGGTGTTTAGGATATATCAAACTTGATTGCTCTAGGCGATCCCCTAACTGGAACACACTGCGCCTGGGCCTGAAGATGAGATGTGCAGAACAGAGACAAATGGAATGCTTTCCCAAAGTAGCCCGTTTCCGTAACCAGATTTCCAATCATCCTTTTTGGACGAGGGACAATCTGTGGGCGAACTCGGTGGCCACTGGTGTGAACTGTGGGGCAATCTTGTCTGGCTGGGGGGACACAGAGCGTCAACGTCCAGGGCCCGTGGCTGCTGTCCCTCCGGGCGAGCACACAGCCGGAAGTGGCAGCCGGGCGGCCCCTCTGCGCGGCCTGCGGTCTGGCTCACCGGCAGCCGCCGCAGCGCGCTGGTCTCCTCCTTCGCCTCCTGCCGGGAGACCGTCCCCGCCGCCCGCTCCTTGCCCACCGAATGCCAGAAGGTCCTCCAGCCGCTCAGGATAGCGGCCTCCAGGCGGCTCCAGTCGCTGGCGGGCGGCGGGGAGCCGGCTCCACGGGGTTCGCTTCCAGCCATGGCCGCCGTCGCCGCGCGACACAGCCGGGTGCACCGGCTTCCTGGCCGCTCGGCCTCCGCCTCCGCCCGCCGCGCTGGGCCACGCCGGGCGGGCCTACTGGGCGCCGTCCCAGGCCGAAGTCCGTGCCAACCATCGCTCACCCACTCACCGGTGCTGGCAACCAGCAAACTCACCACTGCTGGAAAGCCTCTGGCCCCTAAATGACTGCCCCCCACCCTGTGCTCCTGCCCCTTACCCCAGACTATGTCTTCTGTCCCTGGCTCTGTTCCCTGCAAGGACCTAGGAGCGATGGCTTGTTGAATAGCCACCCCTTTCTATGATCTTCATCCTAATTACACTTGCTTTCCCTTAAGAGTTAGGCATAAGCGTGGTGGGTGGGTGGGTGGGTGTGTGGGGGGGGGGTTTGGAGTTACCAATTTACCACTTTCTTGGAGTTTAATAAAAAACTAAGCCTTTGGAGACTATAAGGAAGAAGCCAAATCTGTATTAAAGATATTGCAGAATGTGTGACATTGGCTAACTAGCACATCCTGCTTTGGAAAAAGACAAAGTAATGTACAACACACTAGGTTACAGGAAATAGTTGCTAGTATATAAACATTAAAATAATAGATACTTAACAATATATGCCAGCATGTAACTACTTACTGCTCAGTAGTAGACCCTAAATGCTTTTCAATAGGACCCTTCATTCAAAAAGGAGTACCTGAGGATCTAAATGACAAGGAACAGAAATTCAACAAAGCTTGATACTGGGGCAACTGAAGTTCTGTGAGAATTTAAATTTAAAATGATTATTATTCCACATGCCATTGCTAGTAGTGAATAGGTCAACCTCAGGCTCAGCCGTCAGGAAAATGGGGAAAGTCTTAAGAATTAACTATTTAAATGGCATTCCTCATCCCTAAGTTGTGTTTTATTTTCAGGGAAAGAAAATTAGCATGAAAACTAAGTCAGTTATGAAGAAATGAAATGCCACTACTCCTTATAGTACCAGGAAATGGGAATTATCTATTGAACAAAGAAGTCAGCTTCATTATGGAAATATTTGTTGAAAATAAGATCGTGGGGCTAGAGAGATGGATCAGTGATTAAGAACTACTCTGGCTCTTGAAGAGGGTGGGAGTTGGAGTCCCAACACCACATCAGGTGACTTCCAACCACCTGAAACTCCAGCTCCAGAGGACTGGAAGCCTCTACCCTGCTTGGGTCAGGTGCACAGAAACACACCATTTAAACATTCTTAAAGATAATAAAAATAAAATATCAAAAATCAGAAAGATTTAGCAATTTACATAGAGTCACACAGTAAGGAAATGGCAGGGTTGCAACTTATTCAGGACTTCTAGCTCCAGAACTCACAATCTGAATCATTATGCTAACTTGTCTGCAAGTTATTAGGACCAGAATAAAAAGCACTCAGAAATTATAAGAACAGCAAACTGAGAAGAAATCTTTTTATTCTGATGCAAAAATAACATATTAAAGAAATCAAGAAACAAGTAGGGGAATGTAATTTTATTAATAATATGTTCCAAAACACTATAGTTGGAAAATTTCACTAAAAGTTGCAAAAACAAATCTACTAAACACCAGCATAAATACATAATGAATACTTTTAATTCCAGCTATATTAAACTTATGTTAATATAATACTTCTGTAATGTATTTCATTTTATATTAAAAGAATTCAGGGTAAGTAATACTAGAGAACTATGGAATCCTGATTCTGTGGCAGATAGGGTATCCTCATGGGGTTACAAAAGGGGCCCTAGAAGATGAACCAAGGAGATAAGCAATCTAAAAGTAGACCATGTTAGTAGCAGTGGGTTTTTAAAGCATCATGAAGATAGCTCTGAGAATGCCTTCAGATACAGCTCTCACATTTTAATGAATATCAGAGCACTGACCACAAGACTGTAAAGCTAGGAATGTAACTTAATGGTGGGATTTTAGTCATGACTCTCATCCCACTCTACTATATGCAAAATATAAGGGAATGTCATGGCATGTGCCTTCACATCAAATATGCACATCAAATGCACAGTAGCGAGGAAGCCTATACATAGTGAGTGAGACAGTGACAGTCTCTTCAGTCTTTTTGATTTTTTTTTTTTTTTTTAGACAGGGTTTCTCTGTGTAACAGCCCTGGCTGTCCTGAAACTTTCTTTGTAGACCAGGCTAGCCTCAAACTCACACGTCTTAAATCCCAATCCACACCAGAAAATAAAGAATAATAAACATTTAAGGATTGTGGAAAATCCTGTAACATTTTACATCTTAGTAAACAGCAGAGAATTCATACTGAAGATAAAGGGATTTTTCAGTAGAATAGGAAAACAAAAGCTACTGAACACCAGCATGAATATATAATGCATACATTAATTGTGACTATTAAGTACATCTTAATATTTCCATATTATGCTATCTCATATTGTATTTATAATAAGTAGGGAAGTGATATTAAAGAAACTACACAGTTTTGGCTTCTGTGGACAGATGTAGTAACCTTACAGAAGACAGAAAAGGGAACTGGAAGGTAGAAAGAAAACCACCTAGAATGAATAAAAAGCTGAAGGCCTTCAGGCAGTATACATGAGGAATGTCTGTCACTGATAAGAAATCTATTCAATGGAGAGAGAGAAAGTTTTAAGTGGTAACTTCTGTAAGAAAATCTTTGAGTGTACTGATACACAAGGCATCTAAACAACAGAATGGAAATTGAAGATGGGTCCTTAGATGTACCTTTGTAACCACTCTACATAAAATAGCACTCATCTCCAATTCACGCTTGTCCTTACACCCTGCTTAATGCTTTACAGTGTTATCACTTGGAATATTGTACATCCTTCTTCCACTGAAAGCCCCATGATAGGAGGGTGTTTCCAAAGTTATATCCTCAGTGCCTAGGACAAGATACAGCATGTAGTAGGCACAAAACAGCTGTTGAAAGAATCAATTATAGTCTTAATTATTCTAATCATTCTAAATAAAGTAATTTACTCATCAAGATTAAATGAATACAAAATGTATTGTCCATTTATAATACCATGGTAAAAAGTACTGCAACTGTAATGGTCTACAAATTATTCTCCACTTGCTTGGGGGGAGGGAGTAAACTATACAAAAAGCACCCAGGTATACCCTTATTATTGTACCAACAAGTGAGTCCACAAAGGGTCATAAAGGCAAAACTTGAAGCTCTCAGCTTCTGAAGACAAAGTCTTACTTTCTCAGGTTTAGTATCTAAGTCACACTTTACTCCTCTGAATAGTACATATTCCTCCTTGCTGTATCAACCACTGGTTTAGAGTACATGGCAGTTTGGAATGCAATAGCAGCAACCCTTTTGTGCAAAATTTGGCATTTTAAATCATGCCTCATTAATTCAGAAAATATTACTACCTACCATACAATGAACAGTATGTGCAAAGGTAAAATTTTAAGATAATGGAGTTCATTCAATAGTAAGGAAAATAATTACAACACACTGTACTGTGGTAACATGGGAAAGGAAGATAGAAAAAAATAAAGGAACATCTAATTTCTACTGGAAAGGGTTGAAAAAAGCCTTACTAAAACTACATCCTACAAGTACAGTATCTGGCCACAAAGTAGGGCCTAGAAATAACAGTGTCTACAAAGGTATTGAGGCTGTAAAACTTAAGTGCAATTGAGAAAGGTACTGGAAGCACTTGATTAATTATGACCCACTGAAGAAGTTTGTGCTTCTAAAAATCACATTAAAGATTATTTTAGAAAGCTAAGGGATTTTCATAATAAAACTTGCTAAAATGCTAGATTACATAAAAATCTTAGTTGTATAAAGACAGGCCAGGAACTGTAGTAGGTAATGGAAGAATCTCCCCTACCTTCCACTGCTTATTCAGAATTTTGTTTATCAAAAAGGAGCCTGGGATTTTGATGTTTGAAAATGTTGGTCTAGAACACAAATCGGTATGTGTGCAAATGAGGATGGGAAGATAGGCCTTTTGTTTCCCTACTTGAAAAAGTACACAAAACTAGAGGGAAACATAGCGGAGAAGATTTTCCCTAAAAGATGAAAATTTGTTTGCTCACACTGAACTTAAAATTATTGTGCAGTTAGTATTTGTCAAAATGAAGACATTTAATAGGCAGTTAGAAATAAACTTCAGAGAGCAGGGAGAGTGGAGCTCAAGGTCCTCAAATGGAAATCAGTCTGATATTATAGGCATTACAAGTCAAATGGTTTTAAAAAGATATTGCTTAACATGAGCATTTGGAGTAAGAAAGAATGGAACCTTCACAAAGACAGACAAAAAAAAAAATAGAAAAAAGAGAAACAAAGAAAATACTAAAGTTTAGTCAATAGAAAATAGGCAACCTGTTTTTCTTTAAAACAGAAAAATAAATAAATATGAATTGACTCCCTTAGAATCTAAACTTTCTGTGAAAGAATAGGGGTAGAGGTGACTAATGAAATTTGACTATCACAGTGGGAAAGGGCAGGCACCTTAGTCACAGTTGCAGTTAAGGTTCTTCTCAGTGAAGTCATACATGTAGTAACACACTTTAAAGGACTACATGCCTTCGATAGACCTTAGCCTTCTAAGGATAAATGGCTGATGAAGGATTAACAGTGTTGAGAGCCTGCTGAAGACAATACTAGCAGATAAGACAGAAGAGGAAACGAGGGGGACAGTAGTTCAGATGGTGTCCTCTGAAGTGAAGGGCAAAGAAAGCATGAAAGAGGCTCATTGGTCAAGAGTTATGAGAACAGACAAGAAAGAAACCTGTAAAAAGGATGAAAGCCACAGAACGAAAATGGAGAAAAACCAAGACAAAAATAAGAAAATTTTAAAAATGAGAATTGTCATCAGTTAACTGAAATTTAAGATTTTAGGAAGAGAGTATGGCTGATGCCCAAGGAGCAGTAACAGAAATTACTGGAATGTAAAGATATCACTGGGGCAGAAATCTAGTGCTCAGAAGGGATTACCACACAGACCATCCCAAGACAAGAGGAATTGAGGTAGGCAGAAAGACGGTGTGCAACACAGCAAACTAGGCTCTCTGACCATCAGCATTTCAATCCTAATAAAGGCAAAAGCAAAGATGTGCCCTAAAAGCATCTGAACTAATGACAGAATCATCTACTCTGATTTTTATCTTCATTACTGGAGAAACCATGCAGTTTTTGTTTTAAACAAAATAAGAAAATAATTTATAAAATAGCTAAGTCAATAATTTAAGTATTATTAGTAATACAAGGCAAAATAAACACAATGATTCATTTTTTAAAAATATTTTGCTATTTAGCTTGCTGGAAATGAAATCTAAATATTAGTTATAATCTTTTAATTGCCTACATTTATACTCATAGTATACATCTGAAACAAGGAGGAAAACTGGTTTTCATCTTTGAAGTATGCACACTTCAAAATAAGGAGATTTTGTGTAACATATATTTTACTACAATGAAAAAAATAACCTAAAGTATTATAAAGCAACTATCAATCTACATTGGGTTCCTTATTACCAGTGACAGGATATGCAGTTCAAGTTCAGTTAAAATAACATACGCCATTTTAGAAATTAGAGAATACTTTTTTTCACAGATTTAAGACTATACAATGAAAGGCAATAGCATTAGAGAAGAGTAGCCACATTTGGGCACCTTTACATAGTGTAATATTGTCAAGATCAGCGTAGTACATCTCCTCTTGGGACATGACGCCTTCTTTCTCTTGTGAGGACTAGGTGAACACCTAGCTACAGTGCTGCTCAAAGAAGCTCAAGATCTGCTTAGCATTCGTCGTGTTCCACTCCTGCGCTTTCAAAGGTCCTTCACACACTGACACATATTTCTTCAAAATTTTTTCTCCTACTTCTCGGAAATCCAAAGGTTCTTTGTGTGTAGTGCAGCTTGCTCCAAAAACATCAGTGTCAACTTCATGAGTTCCTGATTGTCGATCTGTGCAATGCTTTAATCCCCAGTAGCACATTTCTCCACTGTACATCATAGCCAGTACATGGATATCGCTAAATATTCCTGGGAAGGCCATTCATTTTGAAATTAGAATTAAGTTTAAGAAAGAAACATTGGCTACTGAAAAGCTAATAGTCTTCACCAATAAACATTTTTCGTACTATTTACTCATGCTCAGAAAAGTCCACTATCACTAGCACAATCCTAACTTAGTCAACTCTTCTGTCTTTTATCTAGAAAAGAAGTTAATACCACAAAGTGGAGTATTGTCAAATAATATTGTTTTAAATACCAATTAGGTATTCTTAACATTTCTAGGAATGTTCTTTAGGACCTTTTGTTATTTTATTTTATTTTATTTTAAGAAGTAACTTCACTGGTAAAACCCTTCTACATTATACCCTAAATTCTGTATATAACTTCAGAACTCACATAAATCCCCTGAACTGCATCCATGAACACAAAGTTTATTTTGGAGGATGCTCCAGGATCAGTGATGTAACTATTGTTATGATATGTCCTATATTTGAGTCTACTAATAGTCTCATGTATTACCATGTGTTTGATAGGTCATACAATTCTGAATTATCACAGGTGCTAATGATATCCAAGATGCTTTGTATCACTAGGAAAAAAAAGAGTATCTAGGACAATTTCCATCAAAAGATAAATATTCCTTTAACATTATTCCCAGCAATTCTGTCATTAAATATTAATGGTAGAAGCATGTTAATTTGTTAGAAAGATAAATTAGAATAAAAGATCTGGATAGACCAGAAGTAGTAGGAACATTAATTCCAACAACCTTGGAGATGGGCAGTATTACAGTTCCAGCCCAGCCACTTATACTACAGAGGAGTTTCAGGCTAACCTAGGCTACATGTAAAACCTTATCTTAAAACAAACAAACAAACAAACAAAAGGACTAAAAAGTACATAGTTAAAACAAAAAAAAAATGGTATTATTAAAATATATGATCAACTCCTTAAGGTCACTTAGACACAAATAAATGATTTATTCTAACATACAAATACTTGTGTGATAAGCAAATTTACATCAAATAAATGATCATGATAACTTTATCGTGCTGGTTTGAAAAAGAATAGCCCTCAGAGGCTCATATATTTGAATACTTAGTCACCAGGGAGCTGCATTACTTAAAAGAATGAAAGGTATGGCCTGGTTGAAAGAGGTATGTCACTGGGAGTAGGCACTGAGGGTTCAAAAGTCCATGCCACGCCCAGTCTCTCTCTCTGCTGCTACATGTCAATCAGAATGTAGCCTCAGTCACTTCTCCAGCACCACACCTGCCCTGCCATCATGCTCCCATCATGATGAAAATGGCCTAAACCTCTAAAATGCAAGCAAGTCCTCAATTAATGCTTTCTTTTGTAAGAGTCTCCTTGGTCATGGTGTCTCTTCACAGCAAGAGAACAATGACTAAGAAACTCTCATAAAACAATTCAATAGAACTCCAAGTGTGACTATAGCAGAATGCAAGTTTCTGCTGTTTTGAGTGTACCCAAGTCACCAAATTTGTTCTTATGAGCTGGCATCTTCAAATTCTACCTAAAAATAGTGGCAAGGGAAATAAGAGTTCAGCAGAACAGCTGACTCAACGAAGCACTGTAACCACAAAAAGTCGCCACTCAGGAGTGGAGCCTGGGCTTTGCCATGCTACATTATGTTTCCTATAGGTAAAGCAATTTCTACTTAGCAAACACAATTAGCACATAAAAATCCCTAAATGTCTATCTCCTTTAAAATTTACTTCTAGTATGATATTAATAGTCAAAAATAATTCTTTTCAAAACAAAAATAGGCGGAAGTTACATGATACATTAACTCCCCCAAATTAACTCCAGCTCTGCATCCTCTTCGGTCCTCCATGTGTACCCACATACATTCACGCATTTACAAACAAAGGATAAAGGTTGAAAATGCATATACATACATACATGCACACATATTTATCTATGCCTCACATCTCACTATGTACCTCTCATTGCCTGGAACTCACTTTGTAAACCAAGTTGATCTTAAATTCACAATTCCTCATGCCTCTGACTTTTGAGTACTAGGATTAAAGAGTTTTGCCACCACATCTAGCCAAAACTAAATATATTTTATGTGTTTTTCTACATTATATGAAAATATTTTAGTTCTTGAATTCATTTTAAATCTAATATGAAATTTAAATGAGAGTAAAGCTAGCAAGCTTTCTAAAAATCTTTAAAAAAAAAAAAAAAAGAAAGAAAAAGAAAAGAAAAGAAAGAAACTGCACTTAGCAAACTTTAACAAGAAAACACTTTACCTGTACTCAGTAATTTAGCTGTGTCTAGGTCTTGGAAAGAAACACCTTCATTTAACTGGATAGGGCATCGATGATTTAGCATCTGCAGCAAGTAATTGATCCCATCAACAAGGTACTAAATAAAGAAACCAAATAAATTAAATCATCAGACACAGAACTATAAACAAGAGTACTTTTTGCCTCATTCTTTACTAAAGGAGAAATGAAATACAGAGGTACACATAATTACTATTACATCCCAGTGGCATAAGGACTCACCAATCTAAGACTGTTCCCCCAGTAATAAGAGTATGGACAAGGAGAAAACATCAACTGCAGCAATGCACTTATTTAAAGATGTTATCAAAGGATAAATACTGTAAAGATGAATTCAAAAGAACTTTAAAAATATATGGAGTTTTGGTTTTTTTGCAGAACTGGGAACTGAACCTAGGGCATCATGCATGTTAGACAAGAGCTCTAACTCCAAACTACACTTTCAGCCCTTTTTATGATTTAGACATATTATAACTAAATTTCTCTACCTAAAAGTAAGGCTTCCTGTTTCTAAGCCTATGTAAATTATGAATACATTTAGACTGAGCTGGAATTCTAGGTGACACAATATTGAGATTCATGTCTTTTGAATAATAGTTGTTAGAATAGATATAAATCATAAAGTCACACTGTTTTAGGAGGAGGGTCCTACAGGCATCTCATAAGACTCATAACAAAACTTCTTCAATCAAAGAAAATAATTGAGAAATTAATAGCTTTGTCTTATATTTAAACAAAAATAACAATTAAGAACTTGAGTAACACATGTAGTAGTTTCCAAATTATATTATTTCATGTGTCATTTTAGTGTTCACAGAAATGCTAAGAGCATAGCCTATAAACCTAAAATGTACATCTATTTACTGGCCCAAAACCTCTGATTTCACTACTGTTATTATAAAATGTTTTAAGGTCTGTAAATGCTAACAATCAAAATCATAAATGAAATTGGTTTTTTTTACCTTCTGAAGCAAGTTAGATTTTCTTAAGAGCCACTCCCTTCTCTTAGTTAGAGAATGACAATACATATATAACAGGGCTCCTCGTCTCCAAGAGAGGCATTCTAGTAGTTCATCCCCAAGCAAATTGCACAGCTAAAAAGAAACATAAAAGCCATATCCACAAAAAAAGCCATACTTTTACAAAAATCAAACTTCTAAAGAAAAGTAAGCAATTCAAAGCACTCTCATTTCACAGAATGTGTCCCCAGGTTAGGTAAAAGAGGAATGCTTATGTTGGAATTAAGTAGAAGTATTGCCATCTGTTGGATATATATGGTAAAATAACTATAACTTACAAATAGTTTTATAAAATAACTTGAAAAAAAAATAGTAGCAAATTCCCCTACGGTTACTTGTAAATGCAAATTCCATTGTCACATTAAAAAGATGCCCTTTTAGAAACACATTGAGTCAGGATCATATCTACTTTTCTAGAAAGAAATAGGAACTATAGAATAGAATAATAATTAAATATAAAAAAAATTTAATAAACAAAATGTTTGTAGTGATACGGCCTTTAAATCTTGGAGTAATTTGCTTTTTCAGGTAGCTTTTCCTAATGAATACATAGAGCCATGAAGGCATTTAGGTAGACAGTCAGCAGGCACATAAATACAAGAACTAACTGACTTGAAATAATATCCAACAGGGTCACCATGAAGGCTCAGCAGGTAATGGTGGTTATTGTCAGGCCTTAAAACCTGAATCCAATTCCAGAACCCATGTGGTGGAGGAAGAGAAGTGACTCCTGCAAGCTGTCCTCTAATCATCACAGGTGTACTGTGGCACATACATGTGCACGCACATATTGAATCCACAAATAAATGTTTAGAAATATTACAAGAACATCCAGAACTAGATATATGAGGCCAAGTAGAGAAGGCTGTTAACAAAGTGTGTGAACAGTATAATACAGACAAATCGAGACTATCAAAATATAAAGACAACATCGTTGGGCAACGCCTGTCTCTAAAATAAAAAAGAGGGGAGTTTCTGGCAAAGAGTAAGGGAAAACTCCTTAAAGATGCAGAAAAGAGCATGAAAGGATGAGTGATGCGTGCTAGTAAATGTTCACCAGGATCAGGATTTAAACAGACAGTAAAGACTGGCTATGGTGGGACATGATTTTCATCCCAGTACTTAGAGGTAGAGGCAGATGGATTTGTGTGAGTCTAAGACCAGCCTGAACTACAGACTTCAGAGGCAACCAGCACTACACAGGGAGACCCTCTTTCAAAACTCTAAAGAAAAAGGCAACAGACAAAAGTAGCAATCAGATTATATGACTGTCAAGAAACAGCAATTGCAAAAGGAAAATGAACAAGGGAATAGCTGTGTTAGAAAAAGACACTGTAGATAATACAATCAAATTCTATTATATAAATATCCTGAAAGTAGTTCATAAAATACACTTTTCTGAACATGGCCTGGAATGTTAAGCTTCTCTTCCTCATCCACTACCTGCTTTGAGACAGGATCTTTCTAAATAGTTTTGGCAGGCCTGGAACCCACAGTGTAGACCATGCTGGCCTAGAACTTGCTATTTAAATTAGGCTGGCCTTGATCTCAGAGATCCCCTTGCCTCTGCCTCCCAATTGATAGGAGTAAAGCATGTAAAACCACACCCAAAAAACCTCTTTTTTAAAATCTTAACTTAAAACAAAGATACATTCACAAGCAACAAAAACAAAGAGCAGGACAATGTTCTATTATTATTTGAAAGTATATAGAACTTACTTTGGGATGCATATTGTTTTCTTTAACTAAAATTTCTGGTTCTGAAAGAAAACTGAGAAGCTCTTTTACTTTCTGAGAAGAGTCTTCAGGAAAATCTTCATCAACTAGTTTATTCTCTTCAAAATATGTCATGTCCAATATGGCCTTAAGACAAAAAGGAAAAATATCTGTAAGAGATGGAAATTGACAGAGTAGCATAGGGTTTAGCCTTCAGTATATAGAAGCCTTATTAGATACTCAACCATGTCAGCACTGTATTTAAATTTGAAAGTAAGCAAAATGTTCAGGCACAAAGAGGATTAGTGATGACAATGTATCAAGATGTAAATGAAGATTCATGTTTCAATTAACATGTTATAATTATGAAAATGTAATCAATTATTAAATTATTTCCTACTGTATAACTCCTAAAAACTTTATAAATGCCTGAACTATAGTCTAAATCTACTCTTCAATATTGAATTTTTAGGGAATTTGTTTTCCCAAATATACAGTCAGTATTTGAGAGCATACACTCTGCTGCCACATAAATGAAGAATGCTATCAATCTCTGCAATTCCAATGCTGAGTCCCCAGCGGCCCGTAAGACCTTAAAACTCTTTAGTCCTTTTACTTATTTTAATCTACTGGATTAATATTAAGGAAACTGGGCTGCTGTAGTAGTATATCTCTTCACAGCAATAGAAACCCTGAGACAGGAGGTAAAAAAGTAACAGAAAAATGTCATGAATGTGTGTAATGATAGCACAGGAATAATGTTAACAATCCTAAAAAAAGATGAATTCCAGGGGAGAAAATTAGACCCGACTCTGAAATGTTCAAGGTCTGAATGTCTAGATTTCTGAGTGGTTATCATTAACAATATTAATAGCAGTATTTTTATTGATGCGTGTAATGAATCTTACTCCTTTGCAAACTGCAGTTTCTTTCTTTCTTTTTTTTTTTTTTTCTTTTAAACAAAATTCCATGTTTTAAGATTAACTTGATTTTATCACATATAACCTTTGGGAATCAGGGACTGAGGGAAATGGCTCAGTCAATAAAGTATTTGATGCAAACATTAGGACCTGCGTTTAGATCCTCAGCACCCATGTAAGAAGTTGGGCCTGGCAATAAGCACTGTAATCCCAGCACTGGGAAGGAAGGCTAAGACAGGTGGATCTCTGGCACTCACTGGCTGGCCAGTCATCCCAGCTGAATCCATAAGCTACAGGTTCAGTGAGAGACCCTGTCTTAAAAGTCAAGATGGAAACTGAAGAAAACACTTAACATCAACCTCTGATCTTCACACAAATACAGACAGATGCACAGAAAATACCTAACATCAACCTCTAATCTTCACACAAATACACACAGATGCACAAGCACCCACATTCACGTGAATATATGTGTGTAACACACATACCCTCAATAAAGACAGAGTACATATGAACATATGTGTGTAACACACACATTCTCAATAAATCCAGGCTTCACATTTGTTTTAGTACCTGTGTGTATAGTTCCAAAAGATTTGATGGATTTGAGCATTCTTTCTCTTCGCCACACAGGAGCTTCAATTTTTCTAGAGCTGCAGAGGCCCGAATTAAAAAGTGATCTGTAAGTAATAAAAGCATGATCATTGTACATATATTCAAACTATCTTTTAAACAAAAAAGGCTATATAACAGAAATGTGATGTAATGAAACTATATTATGGCATGACAGCAATGTCTTACTTAAACATTAAGTATTTCATACATAAAACCCAATCACAAGTAAATTTATTCTCCAAAGTAAAGTAGTGAAAGCCGTTTTAGATTCACTGTTGCTATTCTTTAAATTTCAATCTATATTCTTAAGAAACTTTATCAAGGAATTAAGTATACAATTCACTTCTTGAGTGTGTATGGGTAGTATATATGTATATGTAGGCATGTGCACACATGTGATTGTGCATGTGGAGGACAAATACTGACATGCAGGTTTCTTCCTCAATCATTCCTCACTTTATATACTGAGGCAAAGTCACTCACTTGAAAATGGAGCTTGTGGTTCTCTAGTCTAGCTAGTCGGCCTGCCTGCAGAGAATTGGAATTACATATGAACCACTACAACTTGGCATTTACAATACAACAGTTTATCATGAATAGCCTGTGCTTTACCTACTAAGCCATCCATGTAGCTCTCAGCTTATTCTTGTAAGGCATTTTTTTTCCCACAATGTTGAAATACTCAAAATACTTATAATGAATTTACAACTATGATTGGAATAACACAAAATCTACAAATTTGCAGAAAGAGCTTCCACTGAATGCATGTAATTTCATAAATGTAATTGCAAATGTTTCCTAATAATTGATCAAATCAAATTCTGTAAAAATATCAGACTGTAAACAACTCTATCTTTATCACACTTGTATTTCTAGCTTCTGTAAATACAATTACAATTTAAAGGGTTATCTTGTTCCTTTTAAAACTTTGTTATGGAACAAATAACCTCACTCCTTCAAAACCTACAGAAAGCAGTCATGCCAATACTTGTATAAACTCTCACAATATAAACTATCACAATATCCAACCTTTACTGTCTCCCCTTTACAACCATATTTTCTTTAATGGGTCCCAAAGCTACCTCCCTTAGGCATCACTTCATGTAGTAAAAGTTATATACTGCATACCAGAGTACAAGACACTAAGATCTCTCAGCCTCTTTTCTGAAATATAGAGGCTTTCCTAACATTCTGCCAATGGATAGACAATGTAGTGTTTGGTGTGTTCTCATCTGCCATCTGATCCACCCTCTGCTATTACATAAAGAGATAAGCAGTTCAGTGTTAGAATAATAAAAAGAAAAAGAAAGAAAGAAAAAACCATTGGGCATGGCAGCTGGCAGTCACATAACGAACAACCTTTAGTTTTCCTAGGTTAAAACCAACCAACCAACCCAACAAACCAACAAAACTGTAGCTTTAGATGATTTTAATTGTTGTGAGATCACTTTTCATCTGGCCTAAATGCTATTTAGTTAACAGTCTTCCCATCTCTCCTTGGCCCAAAAGTACCAACCATACAACTCAGAAAACAGGGATCTACTGTGAACCCAAATAGTATGGAGTACTGCACTTCCTACATGCCTTGGAAGCTGTTTATGTTTTTCCTTTAACTTACAAGATTATTGTAAATGTCAAGACTTATACTGAACCGAGTTATTACTGAAGAAAGATGTTACAGTTATTACTACAGGAAGAGTGTGGTGCTGGCATAGCTATCATTTTGGAAAAGTCCATAAAAATACATTCTCTTTATCTAGACATATTTAAAGTAAACCAGCTAGGCAAAAGACAAAAGTGACTCACATAATCTCTGGGGAAAGTCCTTCTTATAGAATAATTTCATGTAGGACAATATCATATAATTTCATATAGGACAATAACAATGAAAAATTAGGGGGGAAAGGCCATAAACATAAAGAGCATTCATAAATGGAATGAAGATTAGCTTTATGTAATCTAGTGTGAGTAAAATAGAAACTATCAATACTGACAACTTAATAAACATATTTAACTGTTAGGCTAAAAGACAAATTTCCTATGTGTATTGTTTTTATTGCATGAAAAAGGGCCAAGTTTAATTCAAATATATATAATCTTGTTTTAATTAAATCTAAGTAAGCCCTGGTAGTAATTCTCTAGTAAGATTAACTTCAGTACTGATCAGGAGCTCATAAAGTGGACAATTATTGGTTGTGATTTTAGTAAAATTTCAGACATAAAATGTCTCCAAACAGATCATGTAACACTGAACTTTTCTTTCCAGGCTTCTACTACATAGGATCACAGAATTCTTTCTAAAGAAAATGAATAACTGTTGGGTTCAGGAATAAGTAAATACAAATTATTCGGGCTCTCTAGGCTGACCCAAATAAAACTAGAATTAAAAGTAACCTGGATACAGACCAGGTAATAGTCATTACTGAACCCTGTATTCCATCTGCAAGAAACCAAAAGACACACAGCCTCAGCATGGTGAGTGGGTCACTGTCCTAAGAAGCAACAGTCCAGCAATGTTCTTCATTGAAAGTGGGTCATTTAATTGTAGAGTCGATTCTGTAAATACACCAACTATTCACTACGGTTTTTCTATTAGTCTTGTTACAAGAATCTTAAAGCTCATGTATGGTAAAGGCTCAACCTTCAAAAAAAAAAAAAAGTGCTGTCAAGCCAATTGTAACAGAGAAATTTCTCAGTACACATATGGCTTTGCAAGAACTAAATGGTGTGGAGGGGAAGTACATTTCAACTACATCAGTGAAACTGTAAAATACCGTTTATTTACAATTGAATTTTGAATTGATCACAAAGGGGAAATTTACAAGGCAGTAACAAGAAAGTGAACTGTCACGCACGCATCTCTACATTTACTGGATGCAAAGAAAGCATCGTTCATTTGCGGTCAGTATAAGCATTCAGAAAGCCTCCAAGTGTACTTTTTATTCACTACCCTTTTCGCAGGTCCGACAGTACACAACTGGTCGGGTGTAAACAAAAGGGATTTCAAGGACTATTAAGAACGCTGCCTTGGCAGCATGACTTCTGAGAGGGTCAGTGACTGCCCAATGGGGACCGGCTGGGAAGCGCCAGCCCTCCCTCACAAGGCCAGGACCAGGGACCCCGCCTCGGACCGCAGGCCGCGCCTTCCGGCCAGCGAGCGCCGCGGCACCGCGGGTCTCACCAGGGTCCGCCCGCCTCCCTCCGCGGCGCTCCCTCACCGTCTTCCCCCGCGGCTTCGCTCAGGTGCTGTATGTGAGCCTGAGCCAGGTCCCCGAGCTCTTCCACCCGCCTCACCACACCGGACACAGCGGCCGCCATGGCCAGCTCGGGCGCGCCCGCCCGATCCACGTGACCACGCCGGCCCGCGATCACCTGATGGCCTCGCTGGCAGAGCGAGAGCCGAGCCCACCCGGCCGGTGGGCGGAGACATGGGCTGCGGGCAATGACCGTCCTCGCCCGCAGAGGTCGTTCCGGGTATTTTGTTCATCCGGCCAGTCGTCCGGCCCTCCCACAATCCTGTGCTGCAAGGGGCCGGTGTGATGTAAAGGCACACCTCCCTCCCGCCTCCTTTCTTCCACCAATCGGAAGTCGACCATGCCCGAGACTGAGCCAATGGGACTTCGGCTGACTCCGCGGGCGCGGGGAGAAAGCGGCCCCTGCAGCTGGCTGGCAGACGGCCGACTGGAAGGTCTGGAAAGAGGATTGCAGCTGTTGGCGTTGTAGTGGGGGAGGTTGCCTAAAATAACCGATTGTAGTCCCTTGGCCAGAAACGGAAGTCTCTGGACCGGTGAGGTTCATCCGAGTTCAGAAACCTGCAATTAGGCAGTCTGCGAGGTACTAGTTGGAATAACGCCTTTCCGAATATTAGCCCCCCCCCAACTTGTTTTTAGCTCGGATATGTCTTAGGTAGCTCACGTTTTAAACTACCTGAACTGTCTTGCGCCCTAAACGTGGTAGCTACAGCACTATACATTTTAGTTCACCTTGAGTCCCTCCATACAAGTGTTGAGTGTCCTTCTGGATTTGATAGGCACTCAAAGGGTCAAACCGCTTTGCATTCAAAAATAGTAATGTGATCTTTTAAGAGTGGTTAACCACAGTGACTTTCCTCCAACTAGTCTTTGTAATTTCAGTTTCAATTCACTCTAGATGCACAAAACAAAAATCATGTGTTCTGTGTCCTTGATGCTTGTACACCTGGCACGTAATGTATTCAGAAAATGGTTTTTAATTAAAAACAATTAACAAAATCCTCCAGTTACTTTCTACTCAAGAACCTGGGAGCGAGGAAAACTGAATCATATAAACAAGAACTGGAGAGTGCAAATGTTTATGCTAGAGTGTTGGCAGACTCCTGTAAAACCAACACTTGAGAGGCTGAGGCCAGAGGAATGCCATCTAATCTAGAGAAGCCTGTGTATAATGAGACTCTGTGTACAAACAAATAACCCACAGAAACTAAAGGATCCATGCCAAATCGCAATAAGTACAATTTACAGTGACGAGCTGGAGCCATGATCAGTTAAAAGAACAGGGTTAAATTCCCGGCAACCACATGGCCATTCACACCTATCTAGACCTTTAGCCCCAGGTGATCTGATGCCCTCTTTTGGCCTCTGTGAACATTGTATGTTGACATAAATGCAGGCAAAATACCCATACACATAAAATAAAAGTAAATTAAAAAATTAATTACAATCATGATGATGAAGCCAAGCTATAGTAATCTGAATGGAAAGTCTTAACACTGTGAATTGTTGTTCAACAGGTATTTTGGTGTGTTCATTTTCAGAGAGAGTTGGAAGAGATTTCAGTCTAACCGTCTATTTCTTTATTTGCAGAAAAGAATAAAAGTGTTAACCACCTCCCAAACCATAGACTACATGATTCTGAGGCTTATCCAACATCATAACAAAACAAGCTCCCTTAGAAAGCCGGATTTGGGCTGGAGAGATGGCAGAGGTTAAGAGCACTGGCTGCTCTTCCTTAGGTCTTGAGTTCAATTCCCAGCACCACATGGTGTCTTTCAGGCATACTCCAGGCAGAACACTATATAATAAATAAATAAACCTTAAACAACATGAAAGAGAGAAAGGAAGAAAGGCAGAAAGAAAGGCGGTACACAGGCACCAGGCAGACCTTTCCAAGTCACAATAAATTACTGAAACCCAGAGAACCTCTGCACTAGGAAAAAAGTAATTGTTTTCTTACAACTTATAGTTAATTCCTTTTACATTAGGAAACCAACATGAATAGAACAAATAAACCATAATGTTAGATTTATTTTTAACAATAAATTAATTACAATGTACCAAAATATACAGAAGCACCTCCCTCTCCACTGACATACAATTAAAAATCAGTTGGCAAAGATGAAATAAATTTCTGTAGATATTTATGAAAGATTTAAAGTTTTTAAGTTTAAGTATTTTTAAACAGAAATCATGCTTGTCTCTGAATTACCTTTACCAATAACTTGTAACATTCTCTTGTAAATTTCTTTAACTACTTTATATTGTTGGGGACTTATTTGCTCATATAAGGGTGCTAAACTGTAATGTCTGTATAAGTGCAATTACTTGGTAATGATGATTTTTATATGATAGGCCCAGTTGTTGGTGTTCTGAGTTACAAGAGGCAGTCAGAAGAAAGAGAAATAATGCAGAATGAATCTGTGCTCAGCAAAAGCAGCAGAGGGAATCAGTCTCCATGAGCTGACAGCTCTGTGGCTATTTTTATTGATACACAAAGGGTCTTTTAAAAAGTCAATTCCCCAATACCAAAATCCCTTATCTGACTAGGAATTGCTTTAAGGAACTATGACTAAGCAAACACAGTCATAAGAATTCCAGGTTTGCTTTCTGCATTTTCGATTCTCTAGCCTGATTATGATGTCCCAAGACTGCTGCTACTTCCCCTCTCAAAGTAAGCTTTTGCAATTGAGGACCAGCTTCTAGTATAGCTGCTACTAAATCCTTCCAATCTTGTAGAATTCTTCTATTCTCAGTAGACCAGTTACGTAAAATCTGCCTTACATATGTCTCCACATCTTCTTTCAATCACTTCAGATCCATCATTTCTGTAGGTCTCCAAGTAATCTGAACATGACCTTGTGGATATTTATTGTTTGCAAGCATTTGCTATATCATAACTGGAAACATGTGAGGCAGTGTCCTCATGACCTTAGGCAACAGTTCCTCAATTCCTTCATAAGGAGACTCCCTTTGTCCTTGATAGTGATTGATTATTTCCTCTTTTTTCTCCTGGGAAGAGCCTTCCCCCTACCCCCACCCCCTTATTTAATTCTTTATCTCTGGAGCCTTTTTATTTGTATCACAAATTTTGCAGTTCTATGGCCAATACTACAATTTTTCCTTTTTAAAATCTGTTTCACCTAAAAGAGGAGTAGATTGGTGTCTTGACCTTAATCACTTTTGTCTTCCTCTGAAACATTTCTATCTGTGAGACAACATCCTCTGCTGACTGACAATTCTAAGCCAAAGTTTCCTCCTCCTTACTGCCCTGCTCTACCTCTTACCAAGCTTTTTCAGGTTCTTCACTCTACAGCAGCTCCAGGGCATTGGACACTAATTTATGTAAAGATCAAACCCTTAATGGTACAGTTTCTCTTCATAGATCATCTCATAGCTCTCGGTATTTGTTTCCACATCATCAATTTTAATTGAACATGAGGAATTGCCTGGAACCAACAGCAATGATACTTAACCAATACTAAAATTCAGTGAGCTTTTTTGTTTGTTTATTTGTTTTGTTTTTTCATTTTTACTCCATTTTCTTTTTGGAAACATTTTAACAGCTGCATATATTGCCACTCCCGAGATGGGGAATTCTCCATGTCCCTGCTAAATCCCAGAGTCTTACCAGTGAGTGATCATTATCTCCAGTCCTGGGGTGTCCTGACTCCTCTTTTCTCCTAGCCCATCACATTGGGTATTAAATATCAGTGTTCTTGAATTGCATGGACCAGTTGAAGAAAGAGAAATGTTGCAGAATGAATTTAGGCTTAGCAAAAGCAGTAGGGGAATCAGTTTCCACAGACTAAATGGGTAGGAGCTGTGTAGAAGCTCCTTTTAGCCTTTTAGCAAGTCAATTCCCTCATACCAAAATATCTTATCTGTCTTAAGGAGACATTAATCAAGAAAACACAGTCATTCTAAGAATTTCAGGTTTATTCAGGCGGTGGTAGCACACTCCTTTAATCCCAGTGCTCGGGAGGCAGAGGCAGGCAGATCTCTGTGAGTTTGAGACCAGCCTGGTCTACAAGAGCTAGTTCCAGGGCAGCCTCCAAAGCCACAGAGAAACCCTGTCTAAGAAAAAAAAATCCAGAAATGTCTTATGCCTGAGGTTATGCTAAGGTTTTGAAATTCCCAAGAAAGAGAAAACCCTATAAATCTCAAAAGCAATCACTGATTATTATAATAGATTATTTCAAGGCCTAAGTGATCATCACTCCAGAGTAAATTTTAGGTACACTGGTCCTTTTAATATTCCAGAACTATGACTGGCACTGTAACAGTAAATACTTCTGGTTTAATCCCTGCCCTCTTGTAATTTATTATCTAGTAAACTGCTATAGAGATAATAACAATACACAATGAACATGCATTTTTAAAATTGTGAAAGTGAGATACTGAAGAAAGTATTCCTCAGGAAATGAAATGAGCATTTAAATGATGATAAAATTGTCCAGTGAAGAGTAATAAGTGCTCAGTCAAAGTCCAATCAAGAGCAAGAAAGCACATGATATCGGGCATGGTCATGCATACCTCCAATCCAGGTCAAATGATGAGTTAGAATCTTGACTTGATGGATGGAACTTGAAGAAACCATCTTGAGTAAGGTAATCCAGTCACAAAAAAAGAGGAACATGGTATATACTCACTCATATATAGATTTTAGACTTAGAGCAAAGTATCATCAGCCTGTAATTCACACTGCCAGAGAAACTAGGATACAAGGAGGAACCTAAGAGATTCATACAAGGTCCCTCACAGAAGGGGAAAGAACAACATCTCCTGAAAATATTGGGAGTGGTGTGGGGGCAGTGAGTGGAGAGGGAGTTAGGAGAAAGAGAAGAAGAGGAGAGAAGAGCATGTGGGACCAGAATGATTGAGTCAGAGGATGAATAGATGAGAGCAGGGAGAGAGAGAGAGAGAGAGAGAGAGAGAGAGAGAGAGAGAGAGAGAAACCATAATATAATAGAGGGAGCCATTATAGGTTTGAAGAGAAAGCTGACTCTAGAGAAATGTCCAGAGACCTATAAGAGTAACCACAACTAACAACCTGAGCAACAGTGGAAAGGCTACCTTAAATGCCCTTCCTTGATAATGAGATTGATAACTAACTTATATGCCATCATAGAGCCCTGATCTAGTAGCTGATGGA